TGCCTCCATAAGTATCATGGCTATCTCTGATATTCAGGCAGATATTTTTCATGTGTTATGTGAAAATTGTGGAATTTTGCAGTTCTGCAGTGTATTACCATTTTACTGCTATAAAAATAACAACTATTGGAATTCCTACTTAATATTTTCTGTATGAAGAAATGTAGAAATGAAGAAAAATTCTGGTAGGGTATAACTAGTCTACCACAGACAAGCCATATTCATCAACTTGAAAGACTCTTTATTATGTAAAGTGTAGCACCCATCTCCTTCCTTTATTGTCTAGGCTGTTCATTAATAGTTTAGAATACCTGAGATTTACTAGCAACCAACATCATTATTCACTTGTAAAATTACTGCCTGTCAAATGGCATAGCTTGTGGAAAACTGGTAAATGTTGACCAGCAGAGCTGAATATTGGAACTACTTGTCTAGTGAGCATTTTCCTACATTAAATGTGAGAAATTTTTGTTCAAACTTTAAAAAAACAAAAAATAGATATGAAACTGCAGGTCACAAGATGCATTTGGAACCACTTGGCTGTATCCTTCCTCTTCATCCTGATGTTTTATTCCTATCTCAATTCACATGTATTGTATAGCTACCTTACCCTAGTACCCCAACATCATGGCTTGGGATTTGTTGTTTTCACTGTGTTCTGAACCTGGAGCCAAGCACGGAAGCACCATTAAGCCTTCTGAACACAGGTAAGTGATGAAATTGTTGTCCAATAGCACTTTGCAAGGAGGAAGTGATCTGGAGTCTCATTTATTGCCATGATAGCCTTTCAGACATAGGGTTGAGTATTGTCTCTTACTGTTTGTTTCAGTCACTTAACAGGGGATAGAGTGCTTCAGAGTTGATCATTCAACTAGAAATCAAGACAACTCAGTCTTCATTTAGTTTATATTAGGATCTTAAATTATTGGTTATATGTTCAGTTCTGTATCAGTGCAGGATAATCCTTATCTGTGATCTAAGTGTAAGAAATTGTGAGTAGTTTGGGAACAAGGAAATTCCAGGTATAAGAATGAAATATATCTTTAACGTTCTGAATCTGGGTAATTCCAGGCGAATAACTGGAGAGCAGTACAACGAATATGTCATCTTATTTTAAGCTTTTATGGGCTGTCAATGTAAAAATAATCATTCTAGACTTACTTCTCACACCAAGTCTATTTTAGCAGCTCTGTGAAAAGTCAACTACCACTGAAATCCCTCCCAGTAAGTCCAGTTTCAATGCATGGCAAACTTTGAGCAACCAGGTTTGCTTCCTTAGCAGAATATATCCATAGCATGAGTTAAGTGCAAACCTCCATCAAAATGCATTCCCACAGTTTTGTCCCTGAGTCAGAGAACTGCAAGTACAGTACATTCTGCTGTTTCTTTAGCTGCATCCATGCTGTTGATTCTCCCACCAGAAAAGTTTTCAAGAGCACCAAGCTGTTGTTATGACTCATAGTAAACACCAACGCAAAGCAAGCAGCCCAATGTTCTTCCCTCATTTCACTCACACACATTCAGTTAGAAGGGAAAAAAGAGGGAGAGGGAGAGAGAGAAAGAAAGGAGAAAATAACAAAGATTCAGTTCTTATAAGCTTGTAAGTCCATGGTGAGAAAAGAGAAGGCTGGAGAGGGCTAGACAAGAGACAAACAAAAATACCATAGCAATTCAACACATGGTGAGGAGGTGGAGTGGGATAACACTACAGAAATGAATGCTTATGACTCTTGCATCATCGCCCCCAAAATAATCAGCCAAGAAGGATAATTACCAGGTTTATCTTAAGTATGTATACATGTATATGTAGACAGGGACAGAATCAAAGGAGCAGATTAAAACCTCAATCTCAACTGAGAGATGGGTTCAACCCATTACTTGGTAGCCAAACATAAGCTCTAGGTGAGATCAAACTTAAAATTTGAGTCACAGGATTTCTGACAGCACTACCTGCCTTAAAAGCATGAATTGAGTGAGTAACGGCACAGAGATAAGATCAAAGCCTGCAACTCTAAAACTGTTTATAAAAAATCCTCAGATAGCACTTCTGAATGTAAAGGTTTAAGAATTTCATCCAAACCCAAGCCTTCACCTAGTATATGAGCTTTACACACTACTAGGTGAGAGGCACAACCCTGGAACTGAGGATTTAGCTGGAGAATGCTGATAGGGTTTACAGAAGAAGTAAAGACAAAGACCCAGGGCATTCTGCAAGTCAGGACACATCAGCAAGGCCAATCCATATCTGCTTCTGCAACTACTCCTGCATGGGTCTTAAACAGTATGGATAACAAAGTCTATGGCAATAGCAGGTACTCATCACCTTTGACAGTCAGTCCACTTTTTTTTTTTCCTCAAGCCAGATTTAGGAATGTAACTTGAGGCTTGAACTTTGAACCAATTTGTGAAACTGAATACTTTTGCTTTTTCAGCACACAAACAAATGAAAATTAAAATGGAAAATAAATGACATAGCCTTGCTACATACAAAAGCTATCCTGTTTGCTCTCTGATTTAATATCATATGTTGTTTTGGAAAAGAAAAAAAAAAAAGACAGATGTAGTTAAATGAAGTCTGGCAAATGTAGTCTGTAAGCAAAAAAAATAAATAAATAAAAGTTATAAATTCCTTCAAAAGGTTTATCTATTTCAGAGTGATCGCTGCTAATTTTAAATAAAGCAATTAGAGGATAGAGCTAGCCAGAAGTTATGTATTGGTATATCTGAAGCATAATTTTAAATCATTATTCTCTCTGCTGTTCACCTAAAGATCAACATTCAGGTAATGCTGAAATGTTCATCATCATGTTCATCCTTAAGCAAATTCAACTTGGACTTTATTTTGGGAACATTGTTCCCTTAAAAATGTGGTAGAAAATGTGGGTCACTTTTGTTTTTCAAATCAAATACAGAAGCCCACATCATGGTCTGCTTTTGTAGTAGTAGTTTTCATTTGTTTGTTGCTGGTTTCTTTTTTTAAAGACTATTAGTCAAATTAAAATTTGCTCTTAAATCTCCAAGCTGACAGGACAAATCAGTCCATGAGTGGTCCTCCACCCTTTCCAGAGCCAACAAAATCCTCAAATGTACATCAGTTCCATGATGGCTTTTACACAGGTCAATCATCTTTATTCTGTAGGCAGTGAGAAAGTCAGAAGTGAACTTGCCTGTACTTCCACAAAAATGCTGAAGTGCTTAATAAAGAATTCATCTGAAAGTCCAGTCAGGCAATTACTAATTGGCTGGTAAATGTTCATTGTGTTTTGCTACTGGTCAAATTCAACCTCCAACATTCCCTTTCTAGAACAGGTTTTAATTTGGGAGAAGTCATAAACCACATTTGACAACAGATGTTATTCCTCCAAAGGACTAGATACAAAATAGGATTCACAGCCAAAAATGTGCATTGAAGATTTCTGTGTTCAGAATATCAAGATCAAAAACTAAATTACATTTAATTGTGTTTACTATTACATATTTGAAATGCACACACTTTCTGTAAAGATAATTTTGTTTTCCCCATTTTCTCCACTGGAAATAGCCATTTAAAAACAATAATAATAATAAAATCCCATAGCAAATGTTCCCATCAACACTAAGTTCTTTCTCAGTATAGTTACAATCAATATCAGTTCATTCCTGCACACTCAGCACCAGCAGTAGGTGGGCCACATGCAACTGCTGAAAATGTCACTCTTGGTTAATGTTTGATAGCAAGTATTGAGCTTCACAGCAGGAATAACTATTACCAACAAAGGACAATGGAAAAAATGATTGAAAGCTTCCTGTAGCTTAGGGAAAACTTCAGGAGAAGTTTCAAAAGGAGGGGGAAATGAGAGCAGAAGAATCACAAAAATGGCTTATAACATAGTCCTAGTCAGAAAGGCTAAAACTGAAACGAAATCTCTCCATGGAGTTTTGCGGAGCCATCTACCACAGGTTTTGGGATCATGGTCTGGAAGAATGCTAAGAGTTTCTGTGCAGAATGCAGAAGATGTAATGTAGCCGTGGCAGGGAGCCAAGGGAGCTATCACCAGTCAGGAATGACCTCACTTCATTTCTGAGTGGGTGCAGAATTCTTGCAGAATTTGTACAGTTCTGATCCAGGATTTCATCTGTTTTAATGTATTCCCAATTTACTATTTTGTCTATGCTATTAACTTGCTACCTAACTGCAAGAGGAAAGTTCTGAGACCAAGGCAAGGCATGAGTGTCTGCAACCCAAGCAAAGAGGCTGCTGGGATAAGCAGGGAGTTGACACTCCAGACTCTGAAGTAACAGAAAATAAACTTACCATGGATTGGAGAGGACTGTCCAGAACTTACTTGCTGCTACCTAGGAAGCTACTGAGCTGCCTGAAATCAGAGGGAAACAAGAATCCAACTGCAATGACACCGTGCCAGTTTCTATTCCATCTCTAGTCACCTTCAACTCTCATTGTTTGAGCAACAAAAAACTGACGATTCTAATTTATATTCAGATAAAACCTGAAAAAAAGTGTGTATATATATATATATATATGTATTCTTCTTCAAGAGCTCACCTCTGAAGAGTTTTAAGCAGATCCACCTCAAAGTTCTTGTAAATTCAAGGTCAACTTTTGCAGTTACATCAGACATGGAATTACCAGAAGGCTACAGGAATTTTAGCTCCTTCGCTTGCACTGTCTGTTGGGCTACGCAATCACATGGGTGTTATCAACTGCTCTCCCAGCCATTTAGATCAGGGTGGTGACTAGTTAAATACCAGTTAGGAAACTTATAGTAAATGTATAGGATTTCTATCAGGGCAGTATGTCCTAAGCAGATATTCTTTCCTGTTACATCACTCTAAATAAGAAAAGAAAAAAAATTGCTATTTCTGTCACTTTCACAGTCAGCAACACTATGAGTAGTTGTAGCAGCATCTTCTGGAAGGAAGGAAACTAGATAAAATAGAGCCAGCAAGAAGAAAAGTTTGGAATTATACAGTGGCTAACTGTATTTAATCAATTACCTTACCAGGCTAAGAAAGAGATCTGGCATGTGGCCTGCACTGCAGAGACTGCGGTGGCATACATCCAGTTTTTTTTTATATATATATATATATATATATGGCATCTAAGTTTTTCTTCTCTCTGCTCCTCATCTCACAGCTAAATTTGTCATTGAAGGTGATCCCTCTCTTTCTCACCTCATATATGAGCACAGGTGAGAGATGGGGTCTACCACACAGCTGAGTGAGCTGGTACTGATGGTACTTTCTTTTATTACATGCAGGAGGGCATGCCTTTTGGAAATATTTGATGATTAGCCAAAGGTTAACATCTCTGCAGTTAACATAATTACAAGTCAGTGTTATTTCAGAGAAGAAAACATAAATAAACAGCTCCAAATACTCTTTCAACAACTAAATTATGACCTTAAAGATGGGAAAAAAAAAAAAAAAAGGAAAAATGTGAGGAATCTGTAAAGAAAAGAGATGTAACTGGGGCTGATGGTCTTGCATTGCCCTCAGTTTTTCTCAATGCCTTCTTCTGTTAGTATTTCAGCAGATTTTGATATACATACATATTAGTTGCTTAGCTAAAAGAAGACACAGAAAGGCGTTATTCTCTAATCGCTGGCACCCTAGATGGTTGTGTCATTTGCTCTTCACACAGGAAACAGATCGACAAAGCCCCACATGCAATCAAGTCCCACATACTTGTCTCTACTCCTTGTCACACATGCGCTGGCCAAGCGTCAGCTCTGACTGTCTTCTGGCAGTGCCTACACAAAAAAAGCACATGAATGCTATTAAAAGACACATGTATTATTCAGTGGGACACTGCCCAAACATCACACACTAAACTGAGCAAAAAGAGTGCAGGAAATGCACAGGTCAGGCAAAAGCATTCTTCTGGGTGTCCATATAAAGACAGAACCAAGTACTGTAGTTTAATAATCTTGTACATAAAGTGAGAAATAATCCATGTAACATCTCAAGTACTTATGATACTTCACTAATCTAGTGACCCACTTAAAAAGGGTCTTATGAACTATCTGATCTTCTGCTCTTTCCCCCCCCCAACCCCCCTTTTAGGCTGTTGTTTTTTTTGTGTTTTTTTTTTTACTACACCATTAACAGAAGCATAACAGGAAGTTCAAACAAATCAGCCAGCTGAGCTCTGATGGCAAGCTAAAGGGCCTGGATACCCATTCTCAGTAAATGGTCCATCACTTATCAGCTGGGGGCTTTCATTGTCCTCTTACAGCACAGTACATAACTGTGCCGTGAGAAGGGAAAACAAAACAAAACAACAACAACAACAACAACAAAAACTTCTCTACCCATAGGCTTTCACCATGTACTATTCTGAGGGGGCCCTATGAGCTGGTTCTCATCACACTTTGCAGTGTAGCACTCAGGAGAGCTTAGCATCTTTGCACAGCACATCCTCTACATCGGCAGCTGTGCAGGCCACAGTACGCACTAAGTAACGCAATGCAGAAACAAGCAGCTACACTCTCCCTCTCAGCCTCAGTTTTAGAACTTCGGTTTGCTGTGGATTTGAGCTGTTTCATGAATTTTGAAGCCAACACATCCTTCACAAGTTACTTGTTGGGGACTGGTACTCTACAGGGTCTGATGAGGGATCAGGAAAAGGCAAGGGCACAGAAACTAAACAGTCCTGTGTCTGAAGTAGGAACCACAAACCTTGGCACTCTGCAAATAATTACCTCGTAGGGCTTCCCAAGAAAACCGGTGCTTATGCACAGTCTCCTCCAAAAGTTTTTTGCATACCTAACATATATTTTTAAACTACCAAATTATATGCAAAGTAATGCTTCCTCTTTTTACTGAAAGCCAGACTACTAATAAGATGATTTTCAAAACATAGGTCTGTCCTTTGCTCCATACCTTCTTCAGCCTCAATCTGTTGAGCTCAGTATCAGCATTCATGAACATTGTTCTCAATCTATACATTTTCCTTATCTGTTTGCTTTCTTTGACACTACTGTGCCCCGGTTATCAGCCATCTATTATAATCCTACTGTCTTCAGAACAAAACTGGTGAAACGGTTTCATTATTGCATTCCCTGAAGCTGTTGCTTTTGCTTCTGGTCTTCTAAACATTCAGTTATATTAACACTGTGTTATGAAAGACACCAGATGGACAGTGCTGGAAAAATCATATCCTTGTTTTCACTAATAGATGCCTTAGGTCATCACCCCTCTCCTTCTCTGTTTCAGGAAACATTATTACATTTCTAAGAAAAGTCTTAGGGGTGTAGCACATGGAACTTTCCCCGTGTTCTGTAAGCAGACAAATAACAGCTGACCACAAAATGCTTTCTACAATAAAGGTGTTTCATACTTCAAGCTACTACCAGTGAGATAAGAAGTCTACTGTAAATATGTCCAAGGTCTAGGTTTCTTGAGACTCGTACTCATTAGCCTGCATTTCACAACTGTTTAGACTGATATCTCTTGTGATTATTATTCATCATAATATTAAATGCTTTTGGTTTGGTTTGTTGTTGTTTGGTTGAGTTTTGTTGTTGTTGTTGTTTTGTTTTTATAGAATAGGCATCAGTTTAAAGATGAAATTGTGAAAGCCTCTTGCTAATTTTCTTTCTCTAGATCTTGGAAAGAAGGATTAGAGTAGGGATTTCTAGGAGCAAAGGATTAGTGACATTCACAAATAAAATGAAATCCATCTCCACTTCTGTGGAGGAAATTCCCTTTGCCCAGTGTTCTGTCTACTCTGTGCCTTTTGACACCACTGTCTTTTCTGAGGCTGATGTGCTTAAATGCCTAAATGCTTAAATGCATGAAACACTGAAATAGGTCAGGTGTTTGGCTAACATGATTCTACTGTGGTTTTTTTTTTTTTTTTTTTTTTTTTCCCCAGTGGAGAAGACTAAGGATAGTAAAATGACAGTATGTTTCAGTATGTTTTTTTTTTTTTTTTTTGGTTTTTGTTTTTTTTTTTTAAATCAAGTTAAAATCAGTTGCTGAAAACCTGAATTTCTCTTAGGATTTCTTTCAACTGAGTACAGGAGACGTCTTTTTTCTCATCAGCAAACTAATACAGTATTTTCTGTTTAATAGTGACCTCTAGTGAAACAAAAAGACTTTTAACAGAAGAGGTGAACATTTTTTAGCAGGTTTAAAATGAGGTGGCAGAATGTATTGAAATGATTTGAGCCAATTTGTTAATGCTCTTATTACCACCAAGGGACTTTGGTATTAATGTATGCCTCTGCTACGTTTCAGGTAAAAAGAACTCTTATTATGGCAGCTGCTCCTAAAATCCTTGCTAAAAATTTAGATGTAGGGCATAGTATTGTAAGGCAGGTTCACCTGAATGAGCTAACAGAAGCATCCTCCAGCTGCATACACTTGTTGAAATCTAAGACTGCTATCTCTACCACAGTAATGAAGCTTCTCATCACTTATATGCTTTCAGGAAAGATAAGGACTGATAACGCATTGTACCCTAAATTCTTTCATCTTTCCTCAGGAAATTTTTAGGCCTAGAAAAAGGTAGGCATCCTCTACAGTCAATACTGTAATTTAAAATAAACAGTGTCTTCTCCAAAGTCCAAAACAATCTTATAAAAATCTGTTTAATCAACCTTATTAATTACATTTTCATGTAATTACAACAGCTATTTTTGCTAACATTGAATTATTTAAACAGTCATGAAGGGAGTAAACTAAAAAGACCAAAAATAAATACAGATTACCATGTTAAGTTATTTATGTATTTGTTTATTTATACAGCTGTACATATAATCCATTCATTTTGCTTTGCTGAAGTAGCTGTAGTGATAAGCCCAGCCATTGTGTTCTGGGGTTTGTTTGTTTGTTTGTTTTTCTCATGTTGTGTCCTCTTATGTTTATAATTCAAGTACACAGAATAGATAAGTAAAAATCTAGACTCCTTCTAAAGCAGATATTTTCAAGGCAGCATTATATAACACAGAGGAGACTGTAGAAATTAAAGCTAATTAAAATGTGACTCATTGAAGTTCCCTCCCTCCTGATAATTTGATTTGCTCTGAAATGCACCTTTCTTACTGCTAACACTTTCAGCTGTGGCACAGGGAAAAAAAAAAATAAAATCTGAAATTGATTCCTCAAGGTAAAGAGTCACATCCTCCTTTAATCAATTACCAAGCTGGCTGACGTTTTAGTCTTTTAAAACAGTAAAACTAAATATTAAAACAGTAAAAGATAATTCACAGCCCCCCTCCTTTAACCCAATTAACTTGCATCAGTTATTCTGAAAGACAACAGAAAACCTTTAGAAATGTCACTAACACTACTGTAAAAACTGACAGTTCTCTAACAAGGATGATCAGGCTACCTTCCAACACTCAGAGGACAGACACCAGAATAATGACCTCTGCAAAGCCTCTAGGTGGTGAAATCAATTTCTTACTACATGCCCTTGTAGTTTCTCCAGTCAGGGACAGTGGGATCCAGGCTATATTGCAGTGGCAGAACTCACATCCTTTGGACCAGTTTCTACCTGAGGTCTCTATGTGACAGCACGAAGGCATAGGCAAGTCTATACAGCACACAGCTGGCATGCCACCTGGGAAAAATAATAATAATACAAGGCACCTGGAAGTCCAACTGCAACAAAATACGTGTTAGGTATCTGCAGCTGAATCAAATACCTACTGCAGTAGGAGGCTCTGCCAAGGAGCCTTCTGCAGGTTCACCCTGTGCCATATCCTTGTGGTGTCAGCGCACATGCACATTTTTACACGAGTGCCCAGGCCAACAAGCATTAACTGTTTTCCACTCCCTTGGCATTAGCAAAGCATTGCCCAGACTGAAATCGGTTTTGACAAGCAGAAATACTCAAAGACGACAAGAAGTCAGCAGGCTGAGGTGAAGGTGTTGTGGAGGTGAGGTGAGGTGAAGTGGGGGGAATGCTTGCTTTCAACTCTTACAAACTCGTGTGAACGCTTTTTCTTTACCCCCACCTCTTGACTCACGTTTGTATGTTGTCAGTGAGGAACAAAAAGCAGTGGTTGGCGTGTAGAAAAGAATAAAGCAAGTGCTTAATACCTGTGCATTCAACCTTGGCTCGGAAAGCACTGACACTCGTTTCCCTACAAGGAGAGCAAAGCCAGCTATGACAGCAA